CTTCCTCCCCATGCCCAGAGTTATGCTGGGGCTCAGAGTCCTGGGGGTGAAGGGTCTTGTCTGGCTCTGGCAGGTGAGAAATGCCATCAATGAGGTCCTCCACTCCATCCAGGATGTCATTAGCACACAGCTGAAAAGATCAAGCACATCCACACGCTGCACAATGGAAACCAAGCTGCAGAAAGAGCCACCCCTAAGCAGCTCATTTCTGCAGGGAGTTGGGTTTGCAAGGCAGGTTTGTCCACACAACTGTCATCACTGAGACCTCAGCATTGTTTCTGGGACAAAGAAGTGATCTTCCACTTTCCAGCACCCTCACCTCTGGCACCTCAGACAGCCTGGACAAATCTGCTCACTTAAAGCCACTTGACAGAACCAGTCTAAGTAACAGAGGGTTTACTTTAATCCAAACTAATGATAGGACTAATTCCATGAATTAGTCAAAACTGGTTTCATTTTTCTACACAGGTTATAACTAGCACACTTTCTGCTGTTGATAACTACACTCCAGTAGGACCTAGAGACTCAGATACATACTAGGAACCCTGGTACTCTAGGTCCTGCACCAAAAAGAGCCCATGAAAACTTGTATTTTAAGTTCAACACAAGAAAAAACAGGGAAGATAAAGAAACAAAAGTATAGGGAGGAGAAAGGATAAGTTGCAATGTAACAAATCACAGCATTGCTCACCAGCAAGGTGCCATCATGTGTGTTGTTTGATCCAAAGACAAGGACAAAAGAGGAGTGAAGGCTCTGACACAGATGAACAATTGGTTTAAAGGCAGGGAAGGAATCAAATCTTCACAAATATATCAGGTAGGAAAGAAAGGTCATTTTTCACAGAGAAGGTTTGTTACAGACCTGCAGGACTCCTGCAGGATCTGTGCTGGGACACATGCTTCTCAAAGAGATTCATTAAAAACCTGGAATAGGAGGTGAATAGCAACATGACCAGGTTTGTTGATGCCACCAAGTTGTTCAGGCTAGTAGCAAGAGTGGCTGACTGCAAACAATCACAGAAGAACTTTCCAGGAGCAACTGCATTCAAATGAAAGATGAACTTTGGTTCAGATAAATCCAAAGCAATGCTTCCAGGGGGAAAAAAAAATGGCAAGTTCAGGCTGACTGAGGGAACAAGATGCAATCCAGGGGGAAAAAAAAATGACAAGTTCAGGCTGACTGAGGGAACAAGATGCAGAAGGCAGATGAAGCAGATCTTTTCATGGAATTATTCCTGCCCATTTAAAAAAAACATAAAACCAGTACTGGGAATTCTTTGGGAAGAACAAAGCTCAAGTTATCAACCCAAGAAGTATCCAGCAGAACTGAAAAAGGGTCATGAAGGGCAAAAGGAAAACTGAAGTTCTCACACAAGGGATGAAGTAAAACAAGACTTTTTGACTTGAAAAAGGAGGCAGCTGAGGAGAGAGATGATGGAGGCAGGAGAGACAAGGTGGCTGCTTAGCTCATCTGCCATGTAATGAAACCAGTAGGTTGCCAAATAAACCAATGGAAGGAGCTGGTTTTCCATACAACAGGCAGAAAAGCCATGAAACTCCTTGCTCATAGGATGTTTAAGATGACAAAAATGCAGAGGGGTCCAAGCAAAGGCAGCACAAGTCTATGGAAGTGGAACTCATCAAGCTCTGTCAAACACAAGGATGCTAGACTCAGGGAGCCTCTAAGCTGCAAAGTGGAGGCTGGCAGGGAACTTGAGGGAAACATCACCCATACTTGCCTCATTCTTATCCTCTTCCATGACATCCACAGCTGAAGGTGAGAGAGAGCAGCATGGGCCATGGTGGCCACATGAACCTCTGGTCTGACCCAGCTGATCTAGTAATTGCATGAACAATTTGTACCTGCTGCCAGGTAGGACAGCAGGATTCACCTGCACCAGGCTAAGAGGCAATGGCAACAAGGGGAAGATGTGGAGGCACAATCCCTGCATGTACCCAACATCTAAAATGCCAAGAGAAGACTCAAACAGCCTTGCAGCCATGGAGGTGGCTCCTTCAGCAG